GAAATTTAAACAAAGTCTTTTAGGAGTTTCCCAAAGGATTCTAAGTTTCATTTAAATAAGTTTATTATTTAAATATTATTATCATCTCATTTATAGATTTTCTCTCTAATAAAAACAATGTATACTTCTAAAATACTATTTAGCTTTCTTAACGTGTTTTCAAACATTTCTTTCTTCTTAACCCTCTGTGAATTAGAACTAAAAGTAATCTGTTGTCCTTTATCCTTTGACCTCTTGAGTCTAGTCTATGGACAATTCTATGTTTGCATTCTAAACATTATCTTAACTGGACCACATTGATTTTTAATTAACCAAAATGCCAATTTTCAATTACTGGCTGGTAAGATATTTGCCTTCATAATCTATAAAAATATAAAGTTGTAGCCTCTGTCTGTCTGGTTGCTATCGAACTCTTTCTAGGGTTTTGGACTTCCCCCCCAATAACCATATATATTCTGAAACTACATTATCCAGGGTATTTGGATGAGTATATTTCATTTTGATGAAAGTAGGGAAACCCCACTGAAAAATTTTCTTCCCCTTTGATATAAATTAAATTTAAATTTGAACAAGGGGATGAGTTCTAGATTACAGAGATAAGTATATTTCATTTTGATCAATGGGGGTCCAGGGAGAACGAACCCCCCACTGATTTTTTTTCCTTTGATTTAAATTAAATTTAAATTTGAACAAGGGAATGACTCCTATCAAACATATTGTTATACTAGAACATACCAATTCTATTGGAAATAGACTCTCCCAGATATAATAAATAGTAGTAGTAGCAGTCGCCAGTGGGGGGGGGAGGCTCAGAGTGAGTTGGTGAGTCAGTCGATGTCGGACATTAAAGTATCAACCACCACAACTAGATTGCTGCGTGGTTAACAATTATAACAAGTTCCTAACGTTTTGTACGTCGGACTCTTTTAGGGCCGATTTAGTGAAATACAAGCCTCCACTGTGAAAACTACTCTACAACACATATAGAAGGAGAAAGCCAGAAGATGGTGGTCACATCGGCAAAATCGTTAAGTAATATTGAAATGCATCATTTTTCTCCACAAATTTTAATAATTTAAAATCAGTCATTATTTTCTTACGAAAGGCGCGTGTAATTCGGTTAGTATAACAATATATGCCAAATGCCATCCCTCTTGTTCGAAAATCAGTTGCTAATGTATTTTAGCGTCTCCTTTATGAGAAGGAACAAATCTATAGTCACCCGCAAACAGATGTTACAGGACCAGCTGCTTCAAGATGTTCGCTTGGTGAGCAGACGCCACAGATGGAATATGCTGCATTCGTCTCTGGAGCAGAAGTAGATGACATATTCCTTGCCGTCCTTAATTGTATTGTCCGTGTACCGAAGAAAACAATGGAAAGTATTAAGATGATTACACATCTTTGGTTTACATCTTTAAAAATGGAGTCGTAGTTTGATTGTCGTTTGACTTATCCACATTTAAGTATTGGGCAACTGTTGAGTAGCTTGCGTGAAAGCCAAGGCATGCCACGATTTTCGACAGACAATCTCGGTGTGTGTTGAAAGATTGGATCAGGTCGATGTCTGCGACGTAATAACATATATACTATTCTATATACATCTGTATCTTTCTTAGCTCAAAAATCATGTCTGTGATGATCTGCTTGGCATAAAAGTCATCCTCGATCTATGGTGTATTCTTTTTGGAAAGTCTATACAGAAGACTTCTACCAGGATTCCATCACCACCAGGTAACTTTCCGAAGAATTTTGGTGGATAGTAAAAGTTCAGATTTATTTTTGTTTGAGAGTTCCAGGGCAGAACGTCACGGGAGGCTTGCCATTGAAAAGGCTCTCAAAATATCAAGACCAGGCAGCAAGATGGCGTCTTTGTTCGTCGGGAGGATTGTGTAGATTGGCATACATTTTCTCGTATACCTTATAGAAGAAACCAATGTTCTCATATCATCTTCGGCCCGAGCAAATATATACTTGTGCTGTATGCGTTTCCTCTTATATTTCTGCCTCTCACTCGTCGAACCACCCCGATTGTTTAATATTTTTTTAAAGCGCCCTCTTCTCACCAGTCGTTGCAGTTTGTCCAATGCAGAAATCATCTAACGACGGTCCAATAATTATTTTTGCCTCCTTTATTGCTAAAGCCATACATCAAAGCAACAGACACAATCAAATTAATGTTAATCATTGTAATGCTTGATTTTGATATTTTGAATATATTAACTTAAACTTGAATCATATGACGTTGATTTTTTTAATCGTTTCACCCCAAGCAAGACGGTAAGCCACTAGCACGCAAGGGGTTATAGAGGATTTGGAGCGAGAGCAAAGAGGAGTGATAGAGGAAAGGATGAAGAGAAGGATCGGAGGCATCTGGAGATGTCAATTGACATTACATTTGAATAGTTGGATATTATAGCTATCAGGGAAACAAGAACTGGGGAGGGAGTTCCACAGGCGAGAAGTGCAAGACATGAAGCTATTGGAGTAGAAGAGACGGCTACATTTAACAGTTTCCACAGTGAAAGGGTGAGAGCGGGATGCCAGCCTTATTGAACGCTTAAATTCATGAAGTCTGGGAACCAGCGAATGCAGCTGATCGGAGCAGTTACCGTGAATGTATTTGTAAAAAAAGACAGAGAGAGGCGACGGCACGTCTATGAGAGAGCGACTGCAGACGAGATGCCAGATCAGGGCCAATTACATTGCATTGTTTCTGGGTTTTATCAAGAACCTTGAGACAAATAGAAGGGGATCCAGACCATATATGGCAGCAATACTCCATACAAGGACGAATGGTTGATTGATTTGTTTATTTTAAAGTCTTCATTTTAATGCTGGTTGCTTCAGCCGGTCTACCCGACCGTAGAGCATCGTTTAGGGAAAAATCTTGGCAGGTTATTTTTGACTCGTTCTACCATATCTTTTTTTTTTTTTTTATAAACTGTGGAATTCATTTTTCTTTTTAATATTTCAGTCGTATATCTACATTTTTTTTTAATTTTGATTCTATTCTTTAATAAACAAAAATTCACCAATTTTGATTAAAAAAAAAAGTTTAACTTCTGTTGCAGTTCAGTGACTGACGACCATTTTGAAAGACGATAGCCGTAACTAAGCGCTTCTATGAAATTCTGTCTATTTTCAATCATCCCAAGACTACATATCTCGAACAGGATTTAAATCCTCTGTAAACCGTTGCTTTAGATATAAAGAAAGTATAGATGCCTAAGTAAAATATATAAAACTTGTATATAAGTAAATCTTATCGTCAAAAATCATTATACTATGTATAAGAACGAAGTTTGAAGACAATTCATATATAGATTTCTTATGATTCCCATTTATAATGCTTTCATGTTTCAGCACCTTTCGTTCTTGTTGTGTGTATGATTTTAAGATTCCCTCTTTGAAAATCAAACTGGCCCAGATTTTCCCTTAACCGGTTGACACCATTTCGAGCCAAAGAGCGGGCATCTAGCTAATCGCACGACTGTATTTGATAATAAATCATAGCCTAATTTGTTAAGATAATCGTCAATATTTCTCTTACCGGCCCAATTCATTGTAAAAAAAAAATGACGTCTTTCATGAAACTCTCACGCCATTTATTAAAAAATTAAGTAATGATTGCGTATATTTTTTCCACAGGCGAGAGGTGCGAGACATGAAGCTATTGGAGTAGAAGAGACGGCTACATTTAATAGTTTCAACAGTGAAAAGGGTGAGAGCGGGATGCCAGCCTCGTAGGGCGCTTGAACTCATGAAGTCTGGGAACCAGCGAATGCAGTTCCTCGGAGCAATTGCCATGAAAGTATTTGTAAAACAGACAGAGGGAGGCGACGGCGCGTCTGTGAGAAAGTGACTGTAGACGAGATGCCAGATCAGGGCCAATTATATTGCATATCCGCCTCTGGAGCTTATCAAGAACCCCGAGGCAAACAGAAATGTCTCCAGACCATATATGGCAGCAATACTTCATATGCTTAAACATTTGCTAACAAAAAATACGATTTCGTCTAAAACTGGTCACGTGTTGTTTAGTGCAGACTTTGAGATGAAAGTTTTTATTTATTTTATTTTATTCTCCAATTCCATTGACAGCCAAATTTTTGATCACTTTGATCAAGTTTCCTTTCCTCTGGTTTGAAATTTATAAAAACAAAGAAGAGCCTATGGCACGAATGCGCGTCGTGTTTCTTTAGTTCCTGTGTGCGGTGTCGCCACATTCAGTTGTCGAGGAAAAAACAAAACAGTTGATCCTTAAATAGCGCCGAAAATGTTTGTCCTTTTGCAATCAATCTTGTGAGTGAAATTTTCGCAAGCCACTGAATAACTTCAACAGTAACACAATTACTAGCTCCTCCTACTCCTCTCTTGAAGCTTTTTTCACTCCTCTTTCTAATTCTCTGTCTGTTTTCCTCCCTTTCTCTTTCTAGTCCTTTCTTTTTTTTTTTTTTGACTTCCCTCCTTTCATTGTTGTATCTCTTAGAGAACCTCCCTCTCTCCGCCCATCTTCACCAACTCCGCCCCTTCGACGATTTATAAAAAGATTGTCTGCCAAGTCTTCTTCTATCTGAAGTAAAAGGACCGCTGTGTACATGGCAAACGCATCGATAACTACTGCAACTACTACTACAGCGAGTGGTGGTGGCTCATACGTTAGTAACTTTTCCCTTAACTGGTTGACACCATTTCGAGCTAAGGAACGGGCATCTAGATAATCTCACGACTGTATTTGATAATAAATCATAGCCTTTAAGATAATCGTCAATATTTCTCTTACCTGCCGAATTCATTGAAAAAAAAATGACATCCTTCGTGAGACTCTCACGCATAAAGGACGCCATTTGTTAAAAAATTAAGTAATGATTGCGTATATATGCTTCTGTAATATAAACATTTGCTAACAGAAAATACGATTTCGTCTAAAACTGGTCACGTGTTGTTTAGTGTTAGAAGTCTGTGTAGTAAACTGAGACAATGTTTATACTGAGACAATGTTTATATATTTGTTGATAGTTTGTTGTAGCAAGTTTCTCTTTGTTCTCTCGAAGTTTTCATTTTTTTATATTTGTTTGTCTCTAACATCTCCTTTCACATATCTATCTATCTATCTATCTATCTATCTATCTATCTATCTATCTATCTATCTATCTATCTCATACGCTGAATCTATGTCATTCTCTGAATCTCTCTCTCTCTCTCTATCTATCTATCTATCGATCGATCGATGTCATTCTAAGAATATATCTATCTATCTATCTATCTATCTATCTATCTATCTATCTATCTATCTATCGCACTCTCTGAATATCTATCTATACCATTCTCATACTATCTATCTATCTATCTATCTATCTATCTATCTATCTATCTATCTATCTATCTATCTATCTATCCCAGTCTGTTCATATCTATCTATCTATCCCAGTTTGTTCATATGTAATTTATTGTCGTCAGTTCGTATCTATCTATCTATCTATCTATCTATCTATCTATCTATCTATCTATCTATCTATCTATCGTTTTAATTGTCTTCGTTATTTACGACGCTAACAGTTTTCTGTTTTGACTTTCTGAGCAAGTAATGTCGTTGTGAGAGTTTGGTTTTCCGCAATAGCCAATCACCAAATGATCTTTTCTCGTTCGCATACTTACATTTTTATCAAGATGCCTGTTTGTAGAACGGAATAAAGGAATGAAGGTCTGTCCGTCCTAAGTGCATGAGTACGCAGTGAAATTAATCAAGTAGCGAGATTGAATTCTGTCGCACGCTTTAAATACCAAACCAAGCTTTCCAAATTATGACGATAACCATCTCATCTTTTCAGACAGCTCTCGGGTGATTATGCTTCACATGAGATCTTTAAAAATATTGGGACATTCAGTAAATGTCACTCATGATCAACAGCTTGTAAAAAGTGTTTGTTCATAATCCCCTTTTAGCGATTCTCTATAGTACACTCCGTAGAACGTATATTTATATTATTTATTTAGCTAAAAAGGACGTTTTCACTTTACAGTATCTCTTCTTAATTATTATACAGACACCGTGAAAACTTTTTACATTGAAAGATTACTTTGTCTGAAAGTGAATTCGAAGAAAACGTTTGTTATTAAATAAAGAAACGGTAACCAACAACAAAGCGGCAATTTCTTGCCCCAGGTACGGGACCACGCCTGAAAGTGCTTTGCAATCGATGGTCAAGAGGTTAGACCATTGGAAGATTGGAAAAAGTTTCTTTCAAATACAGTTGCGACTATTCTAATTTCGACTCGTAGGCGAGTGTTACCATTAAGAAGCATATTTTTGCATTAAAGAAATAGACCTAAAAGCAAGTTAAAATTACTACATAAAGGTGTGTGTGAGTGAGTATATCCGTGTGTGATGTTATGTGTGGTTATGTGTGTGTATGCATGTGCAGTTATAAATATATGCATGCATATGTGTTTGGGTATACGTGTGTGGCTATGTCTGTGCGTGTGTGAGTGTGTGTGCGTTTCTGTGTGTGTATGCATGAGTAGCTGTTTTGCATGACTGTGTAAATATGCAAGTGTGGCTGTAATGTGTGCATGCGTGTGTGTTTGTGTCAGCGTGTGTTACTGTGCATACATATGCGATTGTGTGTGTATGCACATTTGGTTGTGTGTGCAAGTATATATAGTTTTGTCTGTATGTATGTGTATTAGTGTATGCTTGCGCGTGTAGTCATGTGTGGATACGTGTGCAGGGGTAGGTGGGTGTTTGTATGCATATTTGGTTGTGTGTACGGTTATGTGTATATACGTGTGTGGTTTTGCAGTGTGTAGTTGCGATCAGATAATAAACAAGAAATATAGAAAGAGTTTGAATACTGTCTTTGCCGTGAGTTGTAACTTTTTGTTTTATTTATATATATATATATATATATATATATATATATATATATATATATATATATATATATATATATATATATATATATATATATATATATATATATATATATATAGAGGCACGTGGGCGAGTGGTTAGAACGTTCGCTTTCTGACCATAAGACCCGGGTTCCAAGTTCATCATAGATATGAATGCCGCAATCGCTGGAATCCGAGTATGCCAGTATACGTTTGTGTTTGTTCAACACCTGTGGTTTATAATAAAACTAAGCTGAGCGAACCTTACAGGGAGAGAGCATTTACTAGAGTCATCAACAGTCTGAGCAAGGCCAGCCCGCTCAAACCTTCGGTCAGGGAGAGAGCATTTTTCACTAAGTCATCAACCCGTGGTATTGTTTTGTGCAAGGCCAGCCCGATAAACCTTCTATCATCTATCTATCTATCTATGATCTTTATCTATCTATCCATTTCATACGCAATCTATATCATCAACCCCCATGGTATTGTTTTTCTATCCGATCGATCCGATGTCATGCCGATCTATCTATCTAATATCTATCTATCTATCTATCTATCTATCTATCTATCTATCTATCTATCTATCTATTTCATACGCTGAATCTATATCATTCTCTGAATCTCTCCCTATCTATCTATCTATCTATCTATCTATCGATCGATCGATCGATGTCATGCTAAGAATATATTTATCTATCTATCGCACTCTCTGAATATCTATCTATACCATTCTCATATTATCTATCTATCTATCGATATCTATCTATCTATCTATCTATCTATCTATCTTCTATTTCTATCTATCTATCTATCCCAGTCTGTTCATATCTATCTATCTATCCCAGTATCTATCTATCTATCTATCTATCTATCTATCTGTATATATATATGTAGAGAGAGAGAGGGGGGGAGAGAGTCATCCACAGACAGACTTTTTCGCGGTATCACAGTTTATCAGTGTGGCTCGACATTCGATAGCCTCAAGCCAGGCTCGAAACTTGACTGATTTGGCATCAGTCAGAGATTTTCCCCCTAAGCTATCGGCAGAGGAAGGTGAATTTTTACGTATTTATTTTAAATAAACACGCCAGCGACTCAGAGTGCTCAATTCATAGAAGAGCTTTTCACTATCAGCCGTAGTCGTCACTGTTTACAAATTCGCGCTTCCTTTCTAAAGTGCCCGCCCGAAATTTATTTTTCGAGGGCGTATATATATTGTCATCGACAGACAAACTGTATATATATATATATATATATATATATATATATATATATATATAACACAAGAGTGATCTTACACAGTACAATTTATCAAATGCATTATTTGCAAATATAAATAAATTCAATCAG